ATTCGCGACTGGGTTAGACAAATCGCTAATATGCGTACTCAACAAGTATGAGGAAAGAACTGTATCTTAAAATACTCTGAAATTTCGCTACAAACGTGTGGGCTTCTTTCCGTCTGGTCCGATGCATTGAGTTCTACTTACGAGATCGCTCCGTCTTTCGACTGAAGTTGTGACCTGTGTTGTTTACAGTGTACTTCCTTTCGGCGGGATGATCGAGAACAGGGGTACAAATATACCTCATCGTTCCTTCGTCGGAGTCCGCAGGTCATTGCTCAACAATGCGTTCGTTTGCAAGCCTGATCGTAGGTCGAATCCCCTCAAAAACGACAAATACAGGTTAATTTATTCACTGGAACCGTTATCCGAATATCTATTGAATGTATCTACGATCTAGACAAGTAGAAACAACATCCGCACATCTGATGCGGTTGGTAGTGAATTTAATGGAGGCTACATGGGAAATGAAGCGTTGGTTATCTTGCTACCGGGCACCTGACCATTGTCTTTCACTGAAATACCAAAGCTTCATGAAGCAGTATGCATCGGGTACAATAGCACAGCCTGTATCAACAGAGAGAGATTTAGATCACTGGTGCGTTCGACAGGGTAGAACAGTCTTGGCGAATGGTACTGTGGGGTGAAACGGAAACTGATTGACGTTCGGCTGTATAAACTGCGTGCGGCTAACACCGTGATAGAAGACGCTGAGAGCAAGGACCAAGACAGCACCCACACTGTTGCTATGTTGGTATCAATATAACTTCGTTCAAGCTCTTCGAGTCTTCTCTCTGTTTGGTGTATACTACAAAGTGGCGACCCTGCCAGGATGAAGATCCAAGGAAAACCTTCTGGCGACTCAAAATGGTCACCGAAAAGCGAGGCTGATCTACCATCGGATGTAATGCCGGCACTAATCAGCATTCTGGACCGTCTGTCCACAAACAGCCAATCTTCAAAACCGTGTCCCTCGATCCCAATCCCGGAAAAGTTCGCAATCGGTAATAATTATAACCGATGGGAGAAACAAACACAAATCTGCCTCCGACACTTTCCCCATGAGAAACATGCCAACCTGGTGTATAGCCTCCTCACTGGCGAAGCATTCGATATTGTCTCCGAATCCAGAATTCTAGATGACGAGGTAACAGACGACACCTTTAAGAGGATCCGACAACCCTTAGACATCCCCAAGCTAGCGATCGAGTACCGTCGGGGGTTTCACTCCCGCCGGCAACTGGCTGACGAAAACGTCCGCACCTACGTTCGAACTCTGCGACATTTAGCAGACCGCGCAGTCCCAAATCTGTCCAGCTCTGAACGCGATCGGCGGATCTTAGAACAACTCTTTGAGGGCACATAATCCACCAGCGCCCAAAAAGAGTTCTATCTTCAACACCCTGAAGAATTAAACGAAGCCGTCGAAAGGGTGGAACTGTTGGAGAGACAAGACGCAGCGATAGCCCGCCAAAGTGAGCGCAGTCCCCTCACACCCTATTCTTTCCATGTTGGGTCTCCCCGATACGCACCACCGCGAA